TGCTGCTGGAGGCGGCGGCCCCGCGGCCGGAGCGCGGTGAGTCGACGGGAGGATGCTCGGGGTCCGCTCTCGGGAAGGGGCAAAGCGCTGCCCCCCCCCATGGTCCCGTGCCGGGACTCTGCCCAGAGCGCAGCCCCCTCCCCGGCAGCCCCGCGCCCGCAGAGAAGTTGGGTTTACATCCTGGCCTCGGGGGGCGTTAAAATGTGGATGTGCAAATCGGGTCGGGGGCTTTTCCGCGTGCGCCAACTTGGCCAAGTCCGCGGAGGGAGGAAAGCAAGGTGCGCCCGCGGGGCCGGGAGGGGGAAGACGCTTGCAAATCGCTTTAATGCTCGGTCAGTAGCGGGACCGAGCAGATGAAGGTTTGTGCAGAGACGCGGATGGGGAGAAAAAACAAAAATCCCTCGCAATCGGGTTTTTTTTTTTTTTTAAACATCGAGCGCCTACTTTTTAGGAGGGCTTCCAGGTTTTAAAACCGGAGTGAAAATGAAAACGATGAAGCTAGCAAAACTTCAGCCCAGAAAGCTGGTCCAATACAGAGTCTCTTGTCAGCGCCCGCCTGGCAGCAGCTGTTGCTGCGTTCCCAGGTGCATATTTTACCAGGCATAATGCAAAACTTTTAAGGCAGGGAATTGACAGGTACGTTAAGGATTTTTCTGCGGACATACTGCCCGGATATCGTGTCCGTTTGGATTTGCCCTGGCCCCTGCTGCGTGCTGGCCACCGGCATGTAGCAACTAAACGTAGGGTCAGTATAGTCATGGTAAGAAGACCCATTTCTTCTGCCCTGCGCTGCCGCGGCATTTGTGCAGAACGGGGGACTAGTCACAGTAGGTAGTAAAGTCATCTTATTAGTCACAGGGCACTTGCACAGTATCCACTTACTGTCTAGACTGGTGCTCTCTCTAAACACCTCCCGTGGCTATTGTACAGGCACTCACCATAGGTGATATTTTTTCAGAGAGGAAAGTGGAGATAATTTTTAGTTCCTGTGCAGCATTGCTTATTTTTCCGACATGAACACCTAGTTCTGCGCGGGATTCATTCCCTTATGTGTGAAATCTGGCCCTGGCTTCCTATCTCGGGTATAAAGGAATCTAGCCCGTCGTAAATATAGCTGCCTAGTTTCTAAGGCTAGAAAGGGACTGCTGTGATTGCTGGCCACCTGTTTAAAAGAAGCGATGCCATTTCACCCAATAATATCTGCTGGGGGGAGAATGTCTGAGGATCGCATTGTGCTATATAGAGAATTTCAGGACGTGCAATTAAAACTAGTTTTTAAACAACATTTTTTCCCGTGTTAGTGTGCCCTACATGTCCTTTTTTTAATAGGACATATCCATATAAAACAAATATGTATCTGGGTGAATTGACTGGAACTGGAAAAAACAATGACTCTCGTAAGCCATTAAGATGGCATAAGAAGGGGAAAGACTAGCTTAGTGGATGGGGGGCTTTGATTCAGATTCAAGAGACCTGAGTTCTGGTCTCAGCTCAGCCACCTTGTAGCCGTGAGCAAATCGGTCTAGTCAGAGCATCTGTTCCCTGCCTATAGAAAGGGGATGATAAAGCTTTCTGAGATGACAGGGATGCTGTGAGGATAAAACCCATGATAGACTGCAAGGTGCTTGTATGTGATGTGACAAGGACCACCTCTGTTTCTAGGTGGTTGGAAAAATGTATCATTTCATCTCAGCTATGTGCCCTGAATCGTTTTTATGTAGTTCTGCTGGGGTAGGAATGCATTTCATTCAATAAAGTTTGAAAACTAAAAAGAGCTGCCCAGAAGCCCTCAAATAAAACGGGTTTAATGGGAGCATCTGCTTTTTCAGCCCAGGAATTGTCCAGGCTGCTGTTCTCCATAGTATCCGTGCTACAGGGTTGCTAGTTACTCATGAATTATGTGAATCTGAACCCAGGAAGAACTGGGGACATCGCTGCGAGGAAGACTGAGAGGTGATAAATAGCCTGGTAGCTGCTGGGAAGCTGGTAATATCACATAAAATAATAAATTACATAATGTCTGAACACTTCCAAGTGCACGGGATGGTGGTTAAGATTATGTGTTTGTCAATCCAGATGATTATTCTGCGTTATATCAATTGTCTGGTGTGATCTCTTTCCTGAGTCATTTCAGGTTTGAGATGCAGACACTTTTAACTGTAGTCTGGCCCACCTTCCTGATAAGATTTGAAAGACCGGAGACCTGTTGTGTTCTTGCATTTCTTGTAAACTCCCCGCACTGTGTCTACATGGAAATGCAGATTAAATCTTGCAGCAAGTGACATGGCTCTGAGGTTAGACTGCTTTCTCAGCAGTGTTTGAAAGTTGATGGTATCAGCAGCGAGTAGGAGTTCAGAGGGGGCAGCGAGACTTTTCAGTCTTAAACACGGATGATCGTTAAAGGGAGCCGTGAATGGGGTGGTTTCTATGAGGCTGAATGTGGGCAGGTGTGATCCCGGCTTTCCAGCACTACTTTGTTCTCCTGACCTCCAACTTGGCCTCTGTTCTTGGTAATGGGCCATTTTGCACCAAGACGGTACATGATTGTGTAGTGGCTTGAATAGAGTGCTGCAAAAACAGGGTGGTTCATCTGTTGTGTCTGATGGATGCTGAATCCAGGCAGGGATGGATTCAGGAAAAGTAGAGCTGAGAGCCCGGTGAAAGGGTGGACCAGTGGTTGGATTTGTAGGGCTGCTAAAACCCGCTAGGCTGCCTTTTCCTTTTTCTTTTCCTTCTTTTAAGCATTTGTCTTATTTTGGCAGCGCACTGTACTAAGGAGGTAGTGAAGCAGTTACATTTGGATTGGAGAGATTGGGGGTCAGTGCCCAGCTCTGCCTCAGACGTCCTGTTTGCTCTCGGTCAACTCACTTGATTCCTTCCAGTTCCCACCGGTAAGGCAGGGCTAAACACTGCCCTTCTTGTACTGCCCGTCTCATGGATTTTGAGTTGTAAGCTCGTTGGCACAGGGACTGCCTCTCGCTTTGGGTTTGTGCTGTGGGTCTTGGATCCCTATTTTTGTGGCCTTTCCGCGGGATTATAATACAGTGATGACAAGGGGTCGCACCTGGGGACTGTGCAGGTTTCTGCCTAGGTTGGGCCCACAGCTCTGCAAATCGGCTGGGCTCACCTGCTCTACCTCTTTTCTTCCCTGTTGTCCCTGCTGTCAGGCATTTGGATGACAAGGTGACGGGAGCCTTGGAACTGCCTCCTCTTTCATCAGCTGGCCTTTTCCCCCTCCTTCTTTTCCAGGCTATTTGCTGCCTTGGATGTCTTTGCCGCTGCTTGTTCTGAACCCAAGAAATAACTGTGTGAAATGGGCTATGAAGAAATCAGCTTAATTTACAGCAGCCAAAATTTAGGCTGGGTATTAGGGAAAGCATTGTTAACTGTAGGAGTAGTGAAATGCTGGAATGAGCTACCCAGGGAGCTTGTGGCATCTCCTGCACTGAAGGTTTTTAAGAACACGTTAGACAAACACCTGTCATGGATGGTTAAGTGTTCTTGATCCTACTTCTGTGCAGGGGGATGGACTGAGATAAACTCTTGAGGTCCTTTCCAGCACGACATTTGTATCATTCTCTAATCCCCCTCTTTCTGAAGCACTCTGCGGTGAAGGGATGACTTTAGGAGCAGGAAGAAGGTGAGTTTTGGGGCAGGAAGAAAGGTTAGAAGGGGAGACGGCTTCCTGCTTCCCTCCCATTTATCATTATTGAGAATCTCATGATTCCCAGGGGTCCGTGAGCCTGATTCCTTATCACCTTTCACTTTTGGGAGCCACGCTCTTGTGTAAACCCCAGGTGCAAAATGCTGCCGTTCTGATGGCATTTTTTATCCTGATGTGGTATAAACAGCTACTCATTGCGCAGGTGCAGGAAACAGAGCTTCAAGGCCCTGTGTCTGGGCGCCGGAACGAAAGACTTGTGTACACAGGACATCTAACGCTCGCTATGGAGCGGGTCCGTCGCGTGCCGTGTTACTGCAAGGGGTGCTGCGTGAAGTGGGAGGAAATATTTGAACAGAACCAGCATTACCGAAGCTGCCACAAGTTTTGTACCCTGGACGCAGAGCACTAGTGCTGTTGCCTCTGCGTACAAGCTTAGGAGTTCAGTGCACTTCCTAAGATCATCCCAACTAAGCAGTAATCGCTGCTTAGTTTAAGAAGGGTAATTGCATTTGCTGTGGAGGTTGCTTTTCTTTTTTTTTTTTTTCCTTGTGGTTGGAAAAAACAAGGGGAAAGGTTTATTCTTGCAACGCGTTAATCGAAGCTGTATTTGGTGAGAAGCTGCCTGTGTGACAGTAATCCCGCTTTTATAAGGGGCGGCGAATGAGTTTCCTTGGGGGCTGTTCCTTAGGTGCAAATTAGGTACACATTAATAATACTGATGGTACAGTACAGTGCAGTAATTTGTACTTGGGTGCAAATTAATAATACTGATGAGACCAAGGTGTGTGTATAGCATTTAGCCTGTCCTATGGGTTATCTGGAAGTTTGTTTCCTTCCCCTGACCTCTTGGACACCTATTTTAAACTTGGGACACCTATCTCGTCTCCTCTGCTGAAGGTCTCAGTCACTTTTTTACTTTACCTCTTGCTGTTACTGCCCTATTGAGGTCATGTTTAGGCATTAGTACTGGCTCCTAATGGACACTTTATAAACGCTCCTGGATTTATCTTCTTAACACCTTGGCTGGTAGCAAATTTATTCTCCTCATTTAACGGGTCAGGGAGCGAGACCCAGAGAGATTAAGTGACTTATCAAAGGTCAAACCAGGAAATCTGTGGCAGAGCCAAGACTAGATCTCAAATCTCCTGAGTCTGAGGTGCTTGTGTCTTAACCACCCACTTCCCTGGGGGGACCTGTCAGGTATGGTGGGACCGTTGCAGGAATGGCACAGTGTAAACTTCAGTTAGACTGTACTGCACCGGGTTAGAAACATGCCAAGTCCAGAGAAAGCACCTCAGCTTCCATTGGACTTGAATTGTAGGATCACATTTTCCTTAGTGAAATGCGAGGTTGGTTTTATTCGTGATGGCTC